TGATGCATCACTAACTTTTCCACAGGAATGTGCATGCCACATCTCCTCTAGAATATCAAATGGCTTTTTGGTTAAGGCAGCCTTTCCAGAAATCTGACACAGACTGAGGGCTCAAACTCTCATACTCCCTGGTCATTATCCTCTCTGCTGAAGTGGCACAGGGCCAAGGTCTCGGTCTCAGCTTTGTTGCTGTAGGCCATCAACTGCGGCTGAGTGCAGCAATGAACAAAAAGTGGAACATCTTTGACCAGAGAAACTCTTCTGAGATGAGTATCTCTTGGCTATCCAGTACTTTGGCTGCTAAGCTTGCCAGCAGATGCCACAGGAGCTGTATAAACTGAATGCCTAAGGTGACTGATTTTAATAAAGCAGCTAACAGCCCCTACATGGACAGAAACACAGGCCAGTTCTCCAAGTCTCCTGTTTGTTTGTTTTTTTGTGTGTGTGGCTTGCAGAGTATCCAAGCTATGCCACTATATGTGAGTGTTTTACCCCAGCGGGTCTAGTTAAATGTGGATTTTAATTCCATTTTGCTTCTCTAAAGAAGAAATAACAACAGAGTATTTTCTCAGCATTTCTTGGCTATTTTTTAATCGAAGCAGTGCTTGGAGTACATTCAGAGAGCTAATAAAGATAGGCTTAATGACTAAAGGACATGGGTTACAACTCAATGCATTTTGCTTATTTTAGTAATAATAAATCAATGCACAGTTTATAAATTTTATTAGCAAGGAAGAGCTTCTCATTATTTTCCTTTATTGTTTTTCCTTTGCAACAGCCTGTGTCTGTTCAGCTGTGATTTGCTTTACAACAATTAATATCTGGGAGTTTTTCTGTAGCTTAGAAAAACAACAGTGTTTGTCCATTACATGCAGAAGCATGCATTTTCATTGGTGTGTATTTTTCTTATGAGAGGAAGGCTGCTTCTTTCTTGCGCCATTAGCCCAAGAAAGAAGATGGGGAAGGGAGCCAGGAGCCACCATGAGGCTGGAATTGCAGAGATGCACTTTGTGAAAAGTCTCTCGGTCTTACCATAAGAGGGCGGGGTCACTTATGCACCACAAAGTAGTGCCTCTGGGGTGGGAAACTACAGAGGGATGCTTTGTGAGCTGCCACGGTGATCTGGCTTTCCCTCTAATGTCAACAGCCATTCAGCTTACCATGCCAAGAGGATGCAGGTGTTATAAAGGGGAAAAAAAAAAAAAAGGCAATTCAAGTAAATTCCCTCTAAGTGAGTACTTACTCGACCAAGTGATGTGATAGAAGAATGCCTATTAATATACTGAATAAGGAAAAAGTGCTAAATTTCTTAACCTTAATTGGAAAAAAAGTGAACAGTGAGATACTGTTTAATTTAAGCATGAAGAAGATTAAATGCAAAACAAAACAAAAAAACAGAACTGTTAATTGTGAGTAACTGTCCTTCTGCTGATGTTCTGAAAGGTGCTGTTCACTAAAAGCACGAAATTTTCAGTTCCTGGGTAATAAAAAATAGGTGGAAGTCTTAAATACTTTTATGCGTTGCAGTCAACAGAAAAATTATAGTCTCCTCCTCCCCTGCTGTCACAATTGCACTCCCACATAGGTAAGCTGTAAAGCCTGGAAAATGGTGGGGTGGCCGTCACCTTGAGCAGGAGATCGTGTTCTGCCTGCGGTGAGAGCACACAGCTGCTCATGGGGAACAGAGGAAACAACATGCAGGTATAAGATGACAAACCTTTCAGTCTAAGGTTAAAAACAAATTAGCACAGCATTTTCAGGGCTCAGTTAATAAATGCTGACCAAGAGGAAATGTTCTGGCCTCAGCTGTACTACTTGTTTCCACAAAGAACAAGAACCTGCTCTAACTTGATGAAAGTAGAAGTACAAGTGCCATAAGGTATCTGTGCATGTATCAGCCAAAAACTAGTGAGGTGGGTAGATACTTGCCAAAAGTATTTGTTACCTTGACTTTAATTGATGCTAAAAACACTATTTTCCATTGCACTTTATAATGCCTATAGCTGTCGGAGACAAAATCATGTAAAGCTGTATCCAGGTACATTAAGCAAGCCAGATAAAATCTTGATCACAAATGGAAGGGGATTTATTATTGCTCTCTTTAATCACAGTGTTAGAGAGACGTTTGATGGAGCATTTGACAGATATTCCTATAAGGAAAGTAAGAGAAAGGAGTTTTTTTCCTTGATGCTGTAAATGACAGCAGATTCAACAGCTGTTTGTCATCCTTCACTGTCACTGATACCTCACTGATCAGACACTTTACTGAAGTGTGGTAAAGCTTAAGTCTCCATCTGAGCTCCTTTGTTATGTAAGGGAGGATTTCAGCACTGGGGCTGGTGCTTTGTGCCTGACATTATTGGTACTGAAGTTTTTAGTATTGTTTCCAGCTTCAGGAAGCCTTTTTGTTATCAGGTTCCTTGCATTTCACCTCCTCCCCAGGCATTACACTTCCATTTTACTTCTTGTTCTCAATATTTGGGTATTCAGTAGGTAGTGGAAACAGTAGCATGCTTCTTTTGTTCATCAAGAAAGGGTCTGTTGCCGAGCCAAGCCAGTGACCTTTTCTCCCAGTCTGTTGTGGGACTTCCCAGGTAGAGCTGGGCTCTGCCCAGCAGTGAGCTTGTCCGGTGCAAGAAGGTTCATGGGTTTCTCCTGTGAGTGCATACAGGGTTCAGCTGAGCCCTGAGCATGCCTGCATCAACTCCCTTCTGGTTAGTTCGCCCATGTCTAGGTGCTGCACTGCAGTTCAGGATTCTCTCCTTCCAACCACAGCCTACCCAGAGTATCCCTCAGCTCTGGGGGTCACTAAGGGACGCACCCCACTGTTCCAGCTGGAACCACGTCTTCATGGAGAAGTGAGCTTCAGGCTAGGGCTGCATTGATTGTGGAGGTGGGATGGGGAGGTTGTGCTTACACTAAGTGCTCTTTCTTAACCTCTTCACTCCAGGGCAACTGCAACCAAAGTCCAGTGCTACTACAGCAGTTAGGGTCGACTCTGAGAAGCTGAGGCAAGTCAAACAGGGGAGACAGGGAAGGGAAGAGAGGTGGGAAGGTGGCGTAGATCCCCCCCAGTGTTAGCCCTCACTGCCTGCTTCATGCCCACCTAGGATCCATTAGGTTTTCAAACAGCAACTTGGAAGCATTTTGCTGGAGGTCGCAGCGTGGCTTGCTGAGCCTTCTGTGGCTCAGAAGCAGCAGATTTTCTGCACAGTATTGGTCTCTGAGACTTAATAATAATGCATGGAGTGCATTGCTTCTCAATTTGTGGTATCCTTTCTGGCTTTGTGGTAAAGTCTTTCTGGGTTCTTCCAGTGAGGCTTATTTTATTTAGTATTCAGCATTTTAATTGAATGTAGACCTCTGTATCTGCAGCTAGCTCCTATAGCAAGCATCTCTCATAAGAAGCCTCAATACATCATAATATTTGACAGAGAAAAATGTGCATTTTTTCCTAGCACCTGTAATTTAGATAGCAAAATAATTGGGTAGGAAGCATCTCTTAGTTCTAGCTGAATCTGATATGAAAGACAGTTACAGCTTTTCAAACCTGGCTAAAACTATGAATTATCCTACAATATTTGTATGGCTCTAATTTAGGCAGCTGTCAGACAAAAATTCTGTATATTAGAAACAATTTCAGAGAGTCTGTGTCTGTTTCCAAAGACCTTTTTTGTTGTGGGAAATGAAAAGAACTCACTCACCACAGTAAGTACCACAGAGAAGTTTGAACCGATGAATTGGTTGCTGTCCCGAACAGAGAGATGGAGAGATTTCAATGGACTTTTACTGTTCTTACAGCCTCATGAGAGGCACATCAGAAACTCCAGGAGGTCTGTTACTTGTAAATGTTGCTCAGGTTATTGTAACAAGTATCCCTTTCCATTTGAGGAGCAATGGGGGTGTAGGTGTGCAAGTTTTGTTTTGTTTTCTGAGTGAAGGATGCATTCAAAAAACTAGGAAGAGCCTTTAATAGTCATCTTACTTCAGTTAGCACACAAAGACTCTTTGGACATTGTGTAAGACAAATCATAATTAGAACTAAAGTACCAGTTGGGAATTGGGCTATAATTCTGACTGCCATTTGTAGTGTATTTTAATACGGTACAAATGTTTCCTATTTATAAAGACTCTACTAGTCTGATTCTCAGCTCAGGACTTTAGGCTCCAGATCAACATCCTGCTTAGTGTTCATTTTATTTGGTTTGATGCTCCTCACATACTGTATTTTACATGCGTGTGTTGTTAGGCTTTGCCTGAGCTGGACTGCTCCACCTGATGGTGAAAGCAAGAAAATGCTTTCTTCCACACACACGGGATTCGTTTGGGACAGTGATCTTAATGAAAGCATGTAGTGCTGTAAGGGTATGTGTGTCTTAATCCAGGGAACCTCCTAACAGTGTTCTGCCGCCCTTATATACGCATGTAGGGAAGCTAAGGTTATGTAAAGGAGTTGCACAAATATCTTGAATCCACAGCTTTCTTTCGTGTTTCTAATGAGATACCCAGTGGGTGGGTACTTGTGCTGTAACGTGTGTTTCTCAGTCCAGATGCCTCCAGAACCTGAGATGCAGCTGTGCTTTGCAAGACATGCATAGCGAAAAGGAGTTGCTCCTGCTAGTGCCTAAAAAGGGAAGTGTGGCTGCTTGGTTACTGCTGGTTTGGACATTTTCTTATTGTCCATTGTAGACGTATTTAACAGTTGAAGATGTTGGGTAGAAGGGTTTGCCCATATGTTGTTTTCTACATAGAGCCTATTCAGTTGCACAGAAAATGAAGATAAAACTAAAGAACTCTGAAAGAAAAAACTGCTTACAAGAACAGATTTAAAAGGCTCTGTTATCTCTTGTGGCATTGAAAAGGAAATAATCGTATAAGTCTTTTGGAAACAGGAAAAAAAGAAACAAAACAGGATACGTAACTGAGCTGCATGTCTCCCAGTTTTTTATTTTGTCCAGCATGTTATGTACAGAGTGTTTATTTTTTTCTTTCTCTTTCAGACACCATGGCTTTGGAATACCAGACAGTGCTGGAATGGGTACCCATATCAGGTAAAAGCTACAGTGCTGCCTAAAATCAGAAATGGCATCTCTGCAGTGCTCTGTTTGTACTATGGTGCAGCTCTATGGCAATATGTTACTGTGAAGAGGCTCCATGGTGTTTCAGAACATTGTTAGATGCTCACTGTCTTGTTTGTGTTCAAGATGGGAAATATGAATATAACTATCACACCTATTTTGATATGAATCACATGATCTGAAAACAGATCTGGGAAATCTAACTGTGAAAGCAGACATCTGCCACAGTGGAGGAACGGCCATTTTTTTTACAAAGTTCTGAGGATGCTGAAAGTTTTAGCAAAGCCGGAGATTCAGCAGATAGAGAAAAGTCATTCAGAAAGTGAGTTACAACTCTTAGAGGGTGGTAATTATACCTGCTATATTGAAAATCATGCTACAAGTTGACAGGGTCCAACAGAAATTATGTAATGAAAACCATTATTAAAATCATTGTCTCAGAGACAAAAAAAAATCTACTGAGTGCTCATCAGGATTCCGTACTGGTTTTTCAGTTTGACTCTTCTTTTTATTAACTAAGTAAAACTTCTAATCTCTTGTTTGTTACAGTCCCTTTGTAATTTATTCAACACAACATTGCAGAAATACAGCTGGACTTACAATAGATACGGTCAATTTAATCATTTGGGCGACAACTTACCCATAAGTGCAGAACAGTCCTATTGAATTAAGTCTATAGGGAACTGAAACCTAGTATTTTGACTAAGTTAAACTTAGTTAAACTTAACTTAAACTAAACTAAAGTTAATTAAACTTAAACTTAACTTAAACTAAACTAAACTTAACTAAGTTAACTTGGTTAACTTAACTAAGTTAAACACTGTTGATCTTTTCATGGAGGGAAAGCCTCATTCCCCCCCATTATCATTGTATATGGGTATAGAAGTTCTAAAGTTATTGTTAATAAAGCAGCTGACTATCTTAATTGTTTTACTAGAGATTTTCCCTGGTGAGTTTTCTTGCAATAATGAATTTAATAGTTGCAGCTCATTACTACCATTGCTAGCTCATGTTCTTGTCCCTTTTTATTACACCTAATTAAAAGCTTACTGACTGTATCACTAAATCAGAAAAGGATTGTATTGGCCCAGGCAATAGCTTTAAAAGACTGATTTTGAGTGTATACATTTTCATAAAGTATAAGCATATGTCTATATTTAAATAACCCATAGGCAACATTCAGTGGGCACCTAAAGACTGTTTTTCAACTAAAAAGAATCAGTCTACAAAAGGAAGTGGGAATAAAAGAGGCAACTGAAATGCCTCTTGCTAATTGAAATAGCTCTTGCCCTGCTTGGGTGTTTGGTTGGACCAGTTTTCTAGAGATAGTTCTTGAGAGATGCCCTCAGAAGCATCTCCTGTGCCAGAGCCCCTCTCTGTCTGTGATGGAAGATATGACTAGCAGGAAATCATGAGGAAATTAGAGTAGCTCCTAGGACTGCCTCGTAGGCTGGGGGCTAAACACCCTATGCATGCCACCAACTACCTCCTTTGAAGTTACCCCAGGTTGGTTTTGGTTGTGAAAAAAACTCTGTCTTGTTATTTTTACTTCTTTTGCTTTTAAACATTTATTTAATAATGTTTATCAAGCAAGATGCCTGGGTAAATTTATATATTTTTTTCTTCACAAATGTTAACATGTTCCCAGAAAATGGTTACAATCTTTAAAGGAAGGCCTTAATATCAGAAAGAGTTAAACCTGTTTAAAAGTCACATTTTTAACATGTGCAGATGATATTATATACTGGTATCATATTTCTTTAATCTGCTCTATTATTGTTTCTTTTGCTGTGCTTTATACACGCATTAATGAGGTACACCAAGATGTTTCAAGTAATCTTTCAAAACAGAGTATGAATGGGCAGAATTTAGTTTGTTCTAGGTTCCTAATGGATATCATAATTTTTTGGTATTACGATATTACAATACCGTAAAGATTTGTCAAGAGGGTAGATTGGGAAGCTTTTTTTTTTTTTTTCCAGAACCATCAAAGTTCAAAAGAGGCAACCATCATCATTTTTCTTGCATAGTATGCTTATGCATAATTGAGTAATCCCTTGATGATTGCACATCTGTCCTATAGACCTCAGATACTTGTAATATCAGTTAGACCCTCTGTTAACCTTTTCTCATCTCCATCTTCCAGCCGCTGATGCCCGACCTTCATTATTACTACATTGTTGAATTGTCATTCTACTGGTCCTTAATGTTTTCTCAATTCATTGACATCAAAAGAAAGGTAAGAACATCAAGACTAAAAATATTGAAGGCTTTAAACACATACCTTGACCTGAGGAATATCTGTATTATCTGTGCAGTGGAACTTGCAGATAGTTGTCACTGAGAAACTGGTGTTGAAGTGCTTGTTTCATTCTGTTCCTTGTTACTATGATGTACAGGGGTTTTTTTCTGCGTACGGGAAGAAGAGCCTGGTGTAACCAAATATTCAAAGGGAAATGGCATCAGCTGAAAAGATCTCCAGCTCTTAAACAGTGACTTGAATGAAATTGATCACATACAATGTATTATTTCTACTAAGAGTTAAATGATGATATATCACTGACAGAGCAAGGCTACCTCATAAATTCATACCATCTTTTTGGTAAGATCTGTGAAGGCTTTGAATTTATTCTGTGCAGGCAGGGGAAAAAAGGGATATGTTTAATATTAAACACTGATGCTACATCTAACCTTTAGTTATCAACCAAACCTCATAATTGTTGAGGTTATCACTGCAGAAATGTGCTGTATCTAATCAATCCCCCTACATTCACATTCAGCTCTCTGGTCTGAGCCATTGGCTGTACTTCTCTTTTTTGTTCTTCAGGGGGAGGAAAATTGAACAACATTGCAATTGCAACATTACATCTTTAAATAATATTTAATTGATTCCTGACTAGTTGTTTTCCTTGAAACGTAGTTGGAAGATACCTGAGCAGCACCTAGGTATAGTCAAGTACAATTCTGAAAAGGTCCATTGTAACAGTCAGTAACACCTTTCTTTGATATATCTCCTGGGAAAATGCAATAGCTATTTCCCTTGTGACTTGGAGAGCTTGTTCCCATTGGTGAGCTGAGCACAGAGTTAAAGCCTGATCCTGTCCATATATAGGTGCAAACAATCTTTTGCAATTCTGTCTCTCTGTTATATATAAATGACTTAAATATATATATATATTTATACACACACATACATATAAAAATGACTGCTGAGAAGGCTTCTCGGCAGCCTACGGTGGAAATAGAAGGGGAGATGGAGGTGGAGAAGTGAATTGCTATCAGCTAAATAACACTTCAGTCACAGATTTGCAGTGCTTGACCCCAGAGCACTAAGTCAAAGCAGCATCCCATACATCTGCGGTGTCTGAGCATGGAGCATCCAACAGAGTGGGAGCACGGTATCTGTAGTGCAGTGATAGCAAGTCAAAAGCCTTTCATTATAAGCACCCTGCAGGAGACAGTGGAGAGAGATGCCATATATGTAAATAAAGTATGAGATCACGAACCAGTTTGCACTGTGGAGGCAGTTCTTTTTGTATTTTAAACAAAATTGATAACTAGGAAGATCAGACTGGAGAAATGTGGCCATGTGCTGGTGTCAGACAGTAAAACTGCTGTGTCCAGGGGCAAATGCAAGCTGTCAAGGAAACCCGTGAGTTGAATAATGTTAATGCTGGCAGCTTACAGTAGTTGACAAACAGTAGTAGCACACGCTCCTGGGCATCAGGGCAATGGCAGCCGTCAGCCGGATCACAGCACAAAGCCAGAAAGTCCTCTCTGACAAGACAGCTCAGGATGTAGAGGGATATCAGACAGACAATGTATCAGGCTAGCGGGAACAGAGATGGTGCTAGGAAAACATGAGATGAGCCTCAACGCCCAGATCTCTCACATCAGGCATTCAGGAGCCCCAAATACATGGGTATATATACCAACAAGGAAAGGCTAAAAGTGTTACAAGTTCTCAACCTGTCAAATAAGGCAACGGCAAGAAGTGTGATATTGGCCCAAGACTGAAGCACTTGGCAGATTTTGAGACCTGAAATGTCACAACAGATTGGCCCTGAAGGCCATGTTCCTAAGCTACTCTGTGCGTTGCGAGACCCTCACTTCACTAGGCCAGCAAGTAAAGGTGCCAACCGAGTTAACGCTTCAAAGCCTGCAGGAAGTATGACCTTGACAGAGACACCAGCTCTTGGAGCACCATCATAGTTCTCTTTTAAAGAGCAGGTTTAATTTTAGTTTTAAAAATGTGGAAACTTCTTAATGTACTCAGTATACAACGTGAGATACAGAGCTGGAAGAAGCAGCATATTTGCCAGCTAATATCAGACATGGCGATACTTCATGATAGTTTATGCAGAGCAGATTAACAGTTCTCAACCCTAGAAAACTGTTGATATTTTCTTGTTACTGTGAGAGAAATACTTTTATCTAAGTTGTGGTTATCATTTTAGATAGTTTTAAATTCAACAGGGACCGTCTTGTAGTCTGGGAGGATCAAAAGTGCCCTGGCAGCCTCGTACACTGCGGGAATTCAGCCAACTGCTTTTATGCAGCTGGCTTTCTCAAGGCAAGGTGCTGTAGGTCTTCTCTGAAAGTGCCAGTGCTTGGCACTGCCGTAACTCCAGCACTGGTCTTTTACTTTGTGTAGCTCAAGAGAAGTGCTACATACTGTTTTCAAAGTCTTTTATTCTTCCCTAACAACAAATGCATGCCTTTAAAATGACTTCCAATTGGTATGCCGATTTTCAAATACCCATTTATCTTTATTCAGATTTTATAAGTTCCACCAGATTGTCTCTGCCTGGCTGAAGAGATATGAGCAAAATTTTAAGACTTTTGCCCATACCTGCTACTGGCATCAAGTTAAAGCAGTGAACTGAGTAGATTAACTTTTACAGTTTCATAATGGAGTGTTATTTGCTTCATAAACATCTACTCTGTTGCTGTAACGATGTTCTATTGTTAAGAGTTTCCATCCATTTTCAAAAACTGTGATCTAGTATCTTTTATTATTATTATTATTATTTTATCTTCTCTCTCCTGCTTCCCATACTCCTTTCTGTAAAACACAGAGAAAGATAATTAGATTGGTGAACTGTGTTACTCTCATAAGCCCCTGATAAGTTTTAAAAGCAGTGAGGCTTATTTAACATGCTTTCTGAATACCTGAAGTATTGCTTGCTACAAATACATTTGAACAGTGTATTTAAGGGAATTTACAAAACTTGAACCTCAGACTGTTTTAACAGGTTTGTAGAAGATCTGCAGGCACATGCCATCTTTAAGAAGTTACAGCTGGAGGCTATAATTGTGCTGTAAATAAATGCATCTTGTGCAAATGTGCATACAGTTCAAAATATATTTTAAAAGGAAAAAAAGAAACTGTTCCTGTACAACTACTCATCTACTGTGTATGGATGAAAGTGCTTGAGTGAGCTGGGAACACAAGTGCCTCTTGACATTATAGAGACTTGCAACATCAGTTTCTGTGTATTCATTACCTTTATGTGTAATTAAAATCTAACACATAGCATCTTCAAGTATAGTAATAATTACTGACATGAAGAAATGGCACAAATGGGAAAGGACAGACCAGAGTAACAGGAGTATTCTTATTTATATCACACTGCCACTTTCTTCTAACAATTTTCAGTAGGTCAGTCCGGCATCTCTGTTTCAGAACTGGCAGGGTCAGACAGCTGTCTCTTTTAAGAAACATTATCAGGGAAGGAGTTCCCTGGACAGCATTTCTGTAAGTAGTCTCATGCAGAAGTGCAGAAGACTGCTGCCCAAGAGCATTAGGTCTGCTTAGGAATAATCCATATTGTCAGGAAAGCCTTGAAGAGTTCCCAAGAGGGACTAGAAATGTAGTGATTGTATAACATGAATGTGGCATCTATAAAAACAGAGGAGAATTTCTGCTTGGCTTCCTTGCTCATTTGGACTGCCAACGTGCAAATGTAATTGCAATTAGCAGGAAAATAAAAGACAGTGCCATAGCACTTGCAGCTGAAGCAGGTAGAGTGCTAGGCTGCAGAATGGCCATATGGGAACGCTAGCACCTTACTAATACTCCTGGGGAAAGGGTAGGTGCTTTGTTTTTCTGATTATGGCAAGGTCAAATGGTCCCTATGTGGGGATTTCTGGTTACTAAAATGACTGAGATATCACATCCCCACTCTCCAGTAAGATCCTCAGAAAGAGAAAAACATCTTATATTTTTCCTTTTATTCAGTCTGTTTTAAGAAAATTGATTTAAAGCAGTGGCTTGAGATGCCTGCTGAACGTATATGATTGTGCTTCAGACTGCTGGAGAACAAATAATCTGGCTGAGGAATGTTGGATGTATATCAAGCTAGGATACAATTTTATGCTTTTAGTCTGGTTGTGGGTTTGTTTTTTCATCTTTGTGTTGGAAATACTGGCAGTGCCTGTTGATGAGTAGCTGTAGAAATAAAGGAGCTTGTAGCACTTGATAGCTACTCAGCTCCTGGGAGGAGGTCCTTTCCCTATGAGGGCAGTGAGTCAGCTCCAGCTGCAGGTTTTTTGCACAGCCTCCAGGTGTGCAGTGCAGGTGAGTGCTGGTACTGGAAGTACAAGTGGCACGGCATTCCCTTAACACAGAGGTGCCTGCTGCATTCCCAGGGAGAGGCAGCGTGCTGCTAGTTACTCTTCCCAGCACTGGAGAGAGAGAGCAGTGGGCAGCTGTAGCTACAGCTGTCCCTGTGTTAGTGGGGGCTCACCAGCACTTTCCCTGAAGAGCCTCAGACCTTTCTTCCCTTTGCAAGCCAGGTTCTGCCTCTCCAAAGGCTGCGCATCGCAGCTTCATTTTCTCTGCTTTGAGCCACTCAGCTGGAGACAGCTCAGCAGGACTGGCACATAACAGCTGCCACAAAGCCAAGCACTGCCTCCCAAAATGTTTGGTGAAGAAGAGCTTGCCTGGAGGAGCTGTTTCTCGTGGCTTCCTGGATCTGTTCCCTTAGACAGCCCTGCATGAGGGCCACTGCTGAGAGCTGCTCTGCTAGGTGGGCACCTGATGCTTGGAGGTACTCCCCAGTCAAATGATGTCTGTGACCTTTCCTTTAGGGTTTTGATACTACATACTCACGGCTGTTTTTGTTGTTGTTGTTTGTTTATTTTATTTTTTTCTTTTTTAAAATGATTTGGTGCCTTGCAGAGAAGAATCTCATCCCTATAGGTTCTGTTCTCCCAGTAATCAACCTGGGAGCTTAAGCCAGGCAGACTGGTCCTTCCCTCTGCTTTGCCTGCTCCTCAGCATGTGTCTGGGAATTTTCTGGTCCAAGAGTTTTATTGTTCCCACTTTTTTTCAGTAGTAACAGTTACTTTCTGACCAAATAACTCTGAGTTACTGGTTTTAAGACCAGTTAATCTGCATCATTTAGAAGGCAGTAGCTTAGATCTGAGCAGGAGGAGCTGCACCAGCTAATTTAAAGACTTTTCTGACACCAACGCTGTGTGAAGACAAAGCAGCTTCATTAAAAACAAACAAGTGAAAAACTGGAACTGGGATTCTCAGCTGTGAAACTACTCAGTTGTGCTTGGCAGGTGACTGTCAAAAGCTCTTACCATGGTGGAAATATGTTTCTTGTATTTCTGTAGCTATTTGAACTCTTGTGAATGATGCATTATTTTGCAGGCTGCATGTTGATTGCTGTATAAAAAATATGGTGTAATTTATTTATAAGTACATGAGGCTTTTCAATGTAACTTCAGTCATAAATGGTTCATTTGGTTAAATTACTATGAACTGAGAAGTGTAGGAATTTCCTAGCTTTCAATAATCTTTTTACCTTTTGTTAACATACAATTACCACTTTATTCAGTCTAAGTGAAATATATGTATTAAGTAGCAGGATCTTTCTGTAACATAACCATAATGCCGGGTTTAAAAATATCCATCCATTTTTGTATAAGAATATTGAATCTCACTGTTTGGTTCACTGTTGTTTTTTTGTTTTGATTTTTTTTTCTGCTTCTTGCTGCTCCAGGATTTTGGCATCATGTTTACACATCACATTGTAACAGTCACCTTGATAACCTTCTCATACGTAACCAATTTGACACGAGTGGGAACCTTGACCTTATGTCTCCATGATGCGGCCGATGTTGTCCTAGAGGTGAGAAAATACGTGTGTCATCAGTGTCTCTACATGGTACTCTGAGAGCTCACGTGTCAGTGGCTGGAATCTATTTGCTATGCAGAACAACTATTCCCTCAGCAAAGAGGCCAGTTCAAGAAGGTAGTGGTGATTAATATAGCACATTTCCTTGCTCAAATACATTACATTTGTAGCAGTGCATGTTTGTGCTTTCAGGCTGGTTTATCCCTTGGTAAGTTGCTTGTATAGATCAGAGTCTGGTAACGCATTACATGCTGTGGAGGGTTACAAGTAGATTTTAAATATCACATGGTAATGTCAAAAGTTAAAGATTGTGAAATCTGGAAAGCGGTGGCTGTGTTGGATAGAAGCTCCTGTTTCTTGACCAGTCTGAAGTGACGAGTTGAGGGAGAATCCTGTCTTTCAAAGAATCAAGGTGTCATTATTTGATTCTTCCGTACTTTGCTGAGCAGAGGGCACTGGCCAGCTTCTCGGCTGTTCTGTGTACAGGCAATGAGCTCAGTGCTGGTCCTGAGAATTTTCCAGGTTCCTGTGCCTCCTCATCTAGATGCCAGTATGAAACAGCTGGCTTTGGAGAAGAGGGAATGATTGATGCTCTTTTCAGTCAAGATGGTCTCTAACTTCTGTAGTGGCAATTTAGAGATTTTCTCATCCTGTACATGTATCCATTTTTAGACTGCTCTGAGTAATGCTAGGATTGCTCTGTGAACTCTCCAGCAGGATCAATTAATAACTGTTTTGTCTACAAGTATTTTTAAAGTAGTTTCAAGGATCCTGTTATGCAACAACGCAGCCTCACTGTATGATTCACCTATCTCAGAATCAAAATCCTGCCATTTTGATTTGATTATGCTGCAACTGTTTTTATTTTTTAATCCGTTCTTAATGTAGAAGTCACATGATTGCCTGAGGCAGAAGGTAGCAGAGAATATGTATTTCTGTGGTTAGAAATAATTACATCTTTACATTTTTTTTTCTGTTTTAGTAACAGATCTGTGTATATCCATTCTACTGCCTGCAAATTCCCCCAAACTTTCTTCATTACTCTTTTCTTGCCACCAGAAGGACATCCTTAACATTGCTCATTTCAGATCAGACTGGTGCTTGTGGAATGAGAAAACTACCATAGAGTAGCTGTAGTAGGCTAGCTAAAACCTTAGCCTGAGCAAGCTGAGATATACATTTTTGATCAATTTCTCTTGTTCATTCACTGCCCAAAAGAAAGAGAAATTGCTATTCTCACATGATATGAAAACATTCAGCAAATACACTTCCCCATGAGACATAGTCTTTAGTGGCCTTCCTAGTCAATTTGTTCAGTCTGTTTTACCTGGAAATACTAAAGCCACTTATAAAGAACAAGAATCACAACCCCAGGCAAGCATTTACTAAGAGAGCCATTATGACTAACTCAACAGACTTTCTTCTGCCAGGGCAGTGGGTCACAGCCCCAGTGCTGTAGGAGAGAAGATGGACTCATATGCTTTGGGACATTAGTGATGGAAAGTCAATGCAGAGGAAGAAAAATATTTAGCTGCAAAAGAAGCTGGTAGAATTTCTTGCTATGACGGGTCAGTTGTGCACCTGATCTGTTCTGTGTGTTACATATTTGTAGAAATGGAAAGCTATTTCCAGAGGCCACTAGACTTTTTCCACCTACCTATTTCATAATGGAATACACCCAATGAAAAGCTGATTGAGGATGCAATCGTTTTGCTATTATTGCAAAAAGTGGTATGTGTTGGTGGAAATACTGGAAATTAACTTTTTTCCACAGATTTTAAGCCATTTGCAGGTAAAGAAGAGTCATACATGTAGAATTCGATAAGAGCAGGGGGTATTGTCTTCCTGGACTTCAGTAAAACCTTGGTTGCTGCCCCCATAAGATTCTCATAGAGAAGCTGCTAAAGCTGGATGAGCAGACAGTGAGGTGGATCAAAAATTGGCTGAATAGCCGTGCCCCAGAGGGTAGTGGTCAGTGGTGCAAAGTCTAGTTGGAGGCCAGTAGTGAGCAGGGTACCCCAGGGGTCAATAAAGAGTCCTGTCCTGTTTAATGTCTTCATTGACAATCTGGACAATGGGGTAGGGTGCACCCTCAGTAAATTCACAGATGAAATGGGGGAGAATGTTGTCTCATTCAGGGACAACTCAGCCAGAGGGCTGAGCAGCCGACCAGATGGACATTGACAGGCTGGAGAGGTGGGCTGATGAATCTCATGGAATTCAACAAGAAGTGCAGAGTCCTGTGCAGCCCCAGGCAGCAGTATGTGCTGGGGTCCACCCAGCTGGAAAGCAGCTCTTCAGGAAAGGAACCAGGATTTGGCAGACACCAAGTTGAATGTGAGTCAGCAATGTGCCCTTGCTGCTAAGGCTAGTGGTATTCTTGGCTGCATTAGGCGAAGTATCACCCGCAGGTCAGAAGAGGTGATCTTTCCCCTCTGCTCAGCACTGGTGAGGTCACACGTGGAGTCCTCTGACCAGTTCTGGGCCCCCCAGCACAAGAGAGACATGCTGGAAACTGTCCAGTGTATGGCCACCAAGAAAATCAAAGGACTCGAGCACCTCTTCTGTGAGGAGAGTCTCAGAGAGCTGGGACTGTTCAGCCTGGAGAAGAGAAGGCTCAAGGGGAATCTTGTCAATGTATAAAAATATCTGAAGGGAGAATGCAAAGGGGTCAGAGCCAGACTCTTTCCAGTGGTGCCCAGTGCCAGGACCAGAAGTAATGGGCACAAACCGGAACACAAGAGGTTCCCTCTGAACATCAGGAAGCACTTTGGAGGTGATGGAGCACTGGCAGAGGTTGCTTGGAGAGGTTGTGGAGTCTCCACCCTGGGAGATCTTCATAAGTCACCTGGAAGCGGTCCTGGGCAACCTGCACTAGGTGCCCCTGTTTGGACAGATAACCTCCAGGGGTCCATTCCAAACTCAGCCAATCTGTGATTCTGTGATTTTCAGGAATCCATGGCTGTTCTCTTAGGTCTCAGTGAAAGTTATCTTAGGCCACTGAAGGATAGACCAAGCACAGGGTCACTTGCTTGCCTAGGAAACCAGTACATTAGCTTAAGTTGAACCCTAGGTCACTGAGAGGCTATGTTCAGCATCCTACCTAAGTTGTTTAAGGGGTCTTAAGGATCTTTGCACTGCAGTACAGCTTGTGGGTTGGAAACACTGTGAATTAACCCACTACAGTAGGTAAAACCCCACCAATTTGGAGACCTTGAGATCCAGATTCATTTACCTTCCTACTTCAAATGAACACTGACATTTTTTATGCCAGCGTATGGATGTGAAGTAGTTGGTTGCTTCTGGTGTATGAGCCTCACATAGCTGACTGTTGCACCAGATTCCTTTCTGTCAGGTTCCAGCTATTTCCTAACACACTTTTCAAAAAGAGCAGGGAATGGACACTTTAGACCAAGGCAAACAGCTGCACTGTAATATAAATGGGTTTAAATAGACCAGCAAGGGTGTCTGTAAGAGCTAGATTGCTCAGCTGTCATCACAGTTTTTAAGCTTTGAAAATGGTGTTATATTGTGCTACGTGGCCAAATTCCATGCAGCAACATACTCATTTTCCCCCTTTTTTATTTTCTTTTTTTTTTTTTTTTTTGTAGTAGCAGTAGTTCTGTATCAATTTTATTTGTAAATTTGTTATTTGAGAACTGATGACCCAGCAGCTGTACTGTTTTTGAGAAATGGCATGATACTACTACAAGTTGCTATGGCAATATCAGCTCCACACACCATAAAACCAGCTTTTTTAGGCTGCCACCATGGAAATACATCCAAAATTCCTAGCTGAACTTTCAGTCATCTGAAAATCAAGATGTTAGAAACTCCTCTGCTTTACATGTTGGCATCCAGAGTGTTCTCTTTTCCCTAAACCAGACTGTGAGTACAAACTGCTAGGAAACTCATTTGTGTCCAGCAGAATATAAGACTGATTCAGAAGTCATGTGATTTCTTTGCAGCACTTGTGGCTTTCCTCATATTTTGTGAGCTCCCTAATTTGTTTTCTGTTAGTAAGGATATCCTTTATGTTCAGGTTTTGAACAGAAGTATTGCAGACAGTATGAAATATCCTAAGGCACAGGTTGATTTTGGCATCTGGATTGTCTGACATGAGCATTCAACAGTTACAGATTAATTGTGTTCGTACTGATAAAATTAGACAATGCAAAAGTATCTCACCATTTTAGGGACTTCTCTGGTTTGAATTCTGCATTCAGAATAGTATTCTATCTGCATAACTGTAGTTATTTTGCTTCCTCTTAGCCCTCTGGAAAGTCTGTGCAAGTAAGCATTTTCTGAAATAGAGTAGCTGGATACAGTCCCCTCAGAGGGACACAGACAGTGGCCACTTAATAGGGCTCTTCATGTATTTAATTGTGCAGTGACTCTCTGTAGACTTTTGGCACAAAGCATAAAGAAAAACTGTTCCTTCCTTGAAGCAGATGTTGTAAAATAAGTAATTTTGCTTATGCACATGAACTTTCTGGAAAAAAGCATAGATGCCTTAACATCTTGCTTGTACATGCTGTTTTCTCCAGAAGAAAAGAGGTAAGAGGACAAGGCAACTTTAGGAAAGATCAAAGTTTTAAATAAAAGTTTGATTAAAGGTTCTATAGCTGGCTTCTCCGCCAAGGAAGGAATCAAAAGATGGCATTACGATATATGAGAGAAGCATGTAAAAATAGGCTTAGGGCAACAAGCTGGGAGAGCAAAAATGAGAGAGCAAGGAAGAAACAGGAGCAGTAGAAAGCCATGGAAAAAGATTTGAAAGAGGGGAGTATAATCTTAGAGGTGGAAACTGCTCCATAGAGGCCAGGAAAAGAGAGAGACTATGGGAGAATATAGGATATTGGGCACAATAGAGGATTTGAGAAAATTTTGTATATAAAAAACACTAGAAGATGGAGAGCATGGGGCAGCTGGAAGATGGATAGTTGGTGAAAATGAAAGTGGAGCCCAATGGGAAAGAAGGAAGTGTTTTATTAGGTCAGGTTCAGAAGAATAGCATATTGGGAAGGTGATGAGAGATGGGTAGGTTAAAAGGCTGGGGACAAAAATAGCACAAAAATAATGGAGTTCAAAAGAAGGTTTAGAAGAATTTTGTGAATCTGAAATTGTAAGATTTCAAAAAGGAGATGGAATAAGTGGAAGAAGTACTCTGTTTTCATGCAATCTGTTTGTTTTGTTTTGTTTTTGAGAAGACATTTTCCAGCTGCTTGGTAGAGAGGAGTTACAAGGTCACTGGGAGGTGACCAATAAAAACGTTAGTGATTTCATCAAAATTTAATTTCTTCCTTTTACAGCACAATACCAGAGAGTTCAGTTGTCCTCACAGAAGTAAACAGACATTTCTTTCTTTTACAGGCTGCCAAAATGGCAAACTATTGCAAGTATCAAAAACTGAGTGACCTTCTGTTCCTTACGTTTGCCATTGTCTTCATTGTCAGTAGGCTTGGCATATATCCTTTATGGTGAGTAAGCATATCATTTTTGTCTAATGCTAAACATCAAACAAGTTTGGAAATAGCTATGTTATAATTGAACATGATTCATTGACATTACTCTGTTTCCCAGAGCATCAAGGAGAGTTTCAGACATAACCAGGTGTTGTAATAGCATATTTACTAGAGTGCCATTATATTTACTGTGTGCTAGACAAGAAACATCTGGGGCTTCTGCTGGTTTTAAGGTAGAAGTGGATTGAAAATCACATGGCTTTGGGTTAGCAGGTAGTTTTTTGTTCTGGCAAGAAGTTAGAGGGGGAATATGATATTAGTCTCTGAAGATGCTGACCAGAGGCTATGCTTGAAGCTAGGCTCTGCTCATTAGCTTTTAGTGCACGCTTTATAAACAAGTTCAGCTTAAAGAAAACACAGGGAGCTAAGGAAAGTTCAGCTCTGCTGAATTGTATAAGGATGTTATTGCCATGCAGATTTGTAATACTGCAGAGTACTCCTTTTTCACCCTTCCTTTGAACTGGGGGTCCTGGGGAAGCTGTATAATACATGCATCTTCAGGGTAATTATACAGGTGGTAATGTAATCTCACCTCTTCCCAAAGGCAGTCACTTCCATGTGCACTCACTCTCTCTTCCTAGGTGAGAACACATGCATCATACACACAGACAGACACAGGCATTTGGTTCTTTAGCTAGGATCTTCAACATCCAGAAGGCTGCTGGCGAGTTAGAAGACAGCCTGATGCACACCAGTTCAGAAACCCATTCAAGTTTCTCTGCAAGCACAGTATGAGTTACCTTTGCCAAAAAAAGAAATGCTCCCACACAGGCCAGTGTGTTCTATGTATGAGCAGGGCTGGGAGAAGGCTCTTTTGTGTTCAGGATCTTTCCTTTCTCTAGTATGAACAGAACTAACCCAAATCTCTGTGAGACCAGGAGGGGTTTGTCATTACAATAGAAGATGATGATGATAGCTTTGGTTTGGCAAACCAACAGAAATACCAGAAATGTTACCTTTGGCAAAGGTTTAATTAGAGGCATTACCACCAAGCTCCTTATTTAAGCATACAGATGATTTACAGATACTAATATCAACCTCTGTCACTTTTTCCTCCCAGATCCTATATAATGGTATCTCTTTAGGGGTTTGTTCAGTGCAAACAGGATAAGACCAAGGTGCCCTTAGGGAGCTGTGTCATCAGGTCATATTAACAGTAGAATGTAGAAGTCTCATTTAGTGTTTAATGATTCCAAAGATAATGTGATAATGCCTAGTCCCTACTGCGCTGTGAGTTGGTAAAGCCCCATGACAAAAGGAGAAAAGGGATAGATGCACAATATGCATATTTAAAAGTGCTTGTTATTTTTTCGAAGGAACAGTGATTTATTTCTTAAACAAGTTTGCTTCCCTTTCTTTAGTTGTTTCTCAAAGCTAACTTGGCCATACACTGAATTTCTGTAAATAAAGTTGATTTTTCTACCAGTATGATCTCAGACAGGAAAAATGGTGGTACGTCTGCTCATAGGATTTAGTCTGTCACACCCTGTCTTATATTAGGAAATGCAGTGAAGACCAAATTCTACCAGTGCAGCTCTGCCACTGGAGACCGCAGTGTACATGATTCTGCTTCAGAGAAGACTCAGTCAGACGATGACAGCTTGAAATAGAAATCCCACTGCTTATTCCTCTCTTCTCTAATGGCTTTAAAACAATAATAAATTTACACTCCTTTTTGAGTGCTTTGAGTGTGTTTTTTTTACAGAGCTAACCTGGGAGGAATACAGAGCATGCAGGGATGAGGTTAGGAAAGGTAAGGCCCAACTGAAATTGAATCTGGTGGGGATTGTCAAAGGCAACAAGGTGATCTTCTATAAATACATAGGTGACAAAAGGAAGACTAGGGAAATACAGACCTACTGCTGAAGGAGACAGGGCACCTGGTGACATGGGACCTGGAAAAGCCTGAGTCTTGGGCAGCCTGCTCTAGGTGACCCTGTTTGAACAGGGATGTTGGACCAGATGACCTCCAGAGGACCCTTCCAACCTCAACCCTTCTGTGATTCTGCAAGCTGCCTTATGCATTTATCTGCAGCGCTAGCAGAGTATTTAAACCCCTCTCTGTGTTATTTGAACTGGCAAACAGGGAACTGCTGACTTTAAATTTTGTTATTCAAACACAAACTTTACCAGATCGCCGCTGTGTGCTTGCCTTGCTGAATAGTCAACAAAGAGCAGATTAATCTTTTCAGAGTGCATGATTTTGAAGGAGGTCGTTAGTCCTTTACGCATTGAACTAGAAGCAGCTGCCTAATATGCTTTTTCTCTTGAGACATCTGAAAATCAGCAAGGTCAAGTTTTTCCTATCTTTTACATCCTTAATGTGGTAGTCAAATTTTGGAAAGTCTTTTAACTTTTAACTGTTTTAACTATTTTAACCCTTTTAACTATTAACCTGAAGTGTTTAAAATAACACTGTATTTATAACTATAACTGAAGCTCAGAAACTGAAGGTCCATGCCATCTAGAGTGATTTCCATGAAGTGTTGCAGCCAAATGTTACCCTGCAGGAAGCCTTTGCTAGGACTAAGCAATATTTTAAATTCAAGGTTGAGAGGAATGTGGTCAACTTACTGCCTGCCTAATAGCCATATTTTGTTCATATGAAGCGTGGAAGAATGTGTCACCACACTTCTGTGATTAGGTGGTATCATTCAAAGTAGACTCATGAAGGCAGTGAAGGTAGAGGGACTGTGTGAATCACAGGGATTTAGCAGTAGACAGTGTACTCCTCTTTCACAGATGGAGTGGTTACACTAGTGATCACTCTGCCTTTCCTCCCCCTTAATTGACAAAAGAGCACATTTATCTAATTTGAATTTGTGAATGGTTCAGTCATTTGCTTGAGCCTTCAAAATAAGATGCCGAACCATAAATACTGTTTGAATCACTCTCTGAGTCCACCTGGCACCTGATGCTCTTAGTAATAGTATTTGACAAGTCTGTCTGTAGCTTGAAATTGTCATTTTCATTATTTTTATACCTTTTCTTTTAGTATTCCAGCACTTCAGCTGTGGAAATTTATTGCTACTTTATAAATGGTCAGTATTCTCATAGCAAAAACAACCACATTGCAAGAAAAGTGAAATCCTTGCTTTGGAGTACATGAAGTATAATAGGCTTAACTGCATGAGTAAGAAGCAGAATATCAGACTCCACTTACTTCTTGCCAAACTGAGTAAAACCATTTAGCCCCAAAATACCTTGTAACAGAAAGGAATAATTGGAGAGGTATCTTCAGAAGGTGGCTCCAATGAAAAGGGAAGCTGTTGGTGGAATGTTATGTGCAAGGATGCTTCAATTACAGGGAATACAGTACAAGTATGGTGTGTATGATGTGTAATTTCTGATACCATTTTATTTCCAGACTATAGCCTTCATGTACATGCAGTTAATGGTTATCCTGATCTGTAATTATGAAGTCTAGAGGCAGCTTCGTAGTTCTCAGATGTAGTGCAGGCATTGCATGTGAGAGTCAGAGTTAGTAAGGATGAAGAATGGGACATACGAGCTTGTCCATCAAAATCCTTTATTTCTTTGAAGCTGCAGTTATAAATCTTCACCCCCATTAGCTTGCATGTCAGCAAAGATGAGTCATTGGAATGGCAGCAGGCCAGGAAACATAGTTTTGCCCTCCTTTTCCTTGTTGCTGAATATTCAAAATAGCAAAATTTGATGCCTGATTAATATTACATAAATATGCAAATTTTTTTTCTAGCATAAAAACTGAGAGGTATAAAATTGGTGAGTGTGCAATGTAAAAGGAAGACTGTAATTTATAAGAAAACTTCCCCCACGCAAGAAGGCGAACATCCAAGGCAGGGTTCCAGCAACGTCACTTATGAAGCGCTGGCATGCTCTTGTGCTCCAGCTTTGCACAAGTGCCATTTAATTCCGCATAAAGGTGCTAATAAAGAATTCAGAATGTATCAAATGCTGTTGTCTGAAGGTTGTTTAGCAGCAGGGCTAAGACAAAAGAAACAGGCAATTAGGTATATATTTAGCAGTCTTTCTACAGGCATCTGGAGTTCATTTCAGCAATAATTCAAAAACCCCAGGACACTTTCTGCCTCCTGCTGCTAAGCGAATGTAGGAGTAAAGCTGCTATTTCCACTGACAAGACATTTTGCTTGTGAAATTCTCCCACTTGCGCATAATCACTGTTCTAGCAAATTACAACATAAAATACAACTCTCTGCGAGTCGGGGGAACATGATGCCTTCTCAGGTGATAGAGGACTGTAGAGAGAATGAAGGCAATCTCAAACTGAAGAATTGATAGAAGTGATTCGAGCCCTCAGCTAGTCTAATCAGGCTGTGCAAAACTGTTACCTCGAGCCTTTCTTCATTTCAATAAGCCTTGCAATTCCTTTTCCCTAGGCCTCAAACATTTCTTTTTGATGTAGTTACACAGACAGTCTTCTCTGTTGATAAAGGAATGGTTTGCTTTTTGCTGCTGTTATGTTTTTCTTTCAGTATTCAGACAGGGGAACTCATGGGGCTGTAATATTTATTAATCATTTTTTGAGGTGTGCAGATGGCACTTCCATTCGAGGAGGCATGGGTCTTAAGAAGGTGATGCTGTGTAGCAGCCAAGATTTTCCAGTCTCTCCAGTTTTCTTTGTTCATTGCAGAGGTCGTGTTCTGAGAACTGAAACTCCTGAAGGCTGGCTATAGAGGAAACCCAAGACTACTCACCTGCTTTGCTTATCTTTCCATAATATGTGGGTGCTTTTTGTTGTTGTTGTTTTGCTTTTTTTTTTCTTTTTGTTTGTTTGTTTTGTTTTGTTTTGTTTTTGACAGGGCTGTTTGTATAGATCTCCTAATGCTGTGAAGAGTTCAGTATCTGAAACTATTTTCACAAAGTGACAATTAGGGTATTTCCAAGAGCTTCAGTGGAAGAAAGGTGGCTGGCATGGAGAGAGATACAAGGTTACTAAACCCATTCTCTGTTTA